ATTCATTAGTCAATCGAATCTAGACCACTATGAAAAACCTGGAATGCAATGGAAGACGGACGTTTCGTCCTACTATGGGACTCCTCAGTAGTGTGCATCCACAATCCAAACCCGCGGTATTTGAAACCAGGATATTTCCTAATTTCGTTAGCTGAATTATGGATTTAATCTATCACGTTTAATAGCTGAAAATATTTTTTTCCTGATAATTTCATTCAAGGGTGATATATAATTGATATCTAAAATGAACATTACATACAATGGTAAACCCTCTTCTTTCAGTCATTAATGTAGGTGTTCAAATGAGAATACTTAGCTCTCAAGTAATAATTGCTTCTTGGTAGCGTGAATTGTTTTAATGAGATTAATGAAAATATAAGTTTTTAACAAATTTCATTCAATACTGCAACTTCATTGAGATTAGATAAGCACACTATTATAAGTTATCCCAGTATTCTAGAAGTAAAATGCTTGCCTATAGGTCGAAGGTCGTGAGTTTGTTTCTTAGTAGGTTCACAGACGATTGTCTAACCAAGGTCAGTCCTCATTGTATACCATAAAAATATACAAAAATGAAGTGTTTCTTTGTTTTTTTAGGAAAAAACACAAAACTACTTTTAAAGAGAAGTCTTGAATTAGTAGTGAATAGGATAATTTTATAGTAATTACTAAAATTAGGAGTTTTAATTCAATTGTAGAAACTACTTATTTAAATTAATTCCTCATTACAATTCAGTTAAATTAAACACTTCATATAATTAGATTCCTTGAAAAATATACACAGAGCAAGAACAATACAATACAATTGAACAGTTTGCAGAATATACTGAATTCTCTCTATTACACGGTTTCTTATCAGTTGTATACAACTTAATATTATAAACATTAATATGAATATAATTATTTTCATCAGAAGAGGTTTTGTGGAGATTTAGTATTTTCATAGTTGAAAGCGTGAGTCAATTAAAGCTAGACCACCAGGGAAAACCTGAAAGCACTGGACGGCCGTTTCGCCTTATTGTGGGACTCCTCAGCAGTGCGCATCCATTACCTTGCCTCGCGAGATTCAAACCCAGGACCTACTAGTGCTTCCTGGTTTTCCCTGGTGGTCTAACTTCAATTGACTCATGCTTTCAACTATGAAAATATGATTATTGACAAATGTTTAAGATACACTAGGTTGTAAAGTTTAGATAAATGATAGAAACGTAACCACAATAATGATAATAAACCGAATGGGGATACAAACTGTATGAATAAACATAGTTTGGACATGTACTTATATTTGTAATAATATGCTAAGGTAAAACAGTTAAAGATCTCGTTAGTGTAATAAGAAGATGAAGATTATTAGAACTATGTGATATATTAGAGCAATACATTTTGAACAATCTGATCACACATATACTTGTTAAGAACTTTTTTAAAATAAAAATTAAAGGTCAACTAGACTCGAAATGTGGGTAAGAATAGACAACGATAATAATAATAAAAATAATGTGAGAACAATTTGAAACCGAATCACTGTGGATAATAAGCTAATATTTCCAGGGTAGGTTTAAGGGGGGAACAAAACACTCTTCAATAGAGATAGGATGTTATGCTCAAACAACAAAATAAATGAATAGTTAGGTATTCTGGAAAACTATCGCATAAAAAATGGATACCCGAAGAAGTTATTACGAAATACGGAAGAGAGTATCCCAAGGATGATAAACAATCAACTAGTGGAAAGAAACCTGTCTTCAACCACCTTCGGTTAAAAGAAGAGTAGACTTCAGGAAGAACTGATAAAAGTGTCAAGGAGGCACTAAAAAAACTTCCCTGCTTCTCAATTGCTTTCATCATACAACACCAAGTGTTCGTTATACTATACAGAGGTAGATCTGTGCACTTCTGACGTCACCTCTGATTGCATCTATGAATCGCTACCGCAAGTACATAGGACAAACAGAGAAAAAGCCTCTACAATCTTTTCTGAGCACATTCTTAGGAACTTAATGGCGAAATAGAGTAAAGTTTTTACAAATGCAGTCGCCAGACGCTTTCGGGATGCTGCAGATGAGGTGAATGTAAGTAATGCATTTTAAACAATTGATGGATAAAACACGATCTTACTTCGTTTGATAGAGGCAATCTCTATAAAATGTTTCCAACCTGAACTTTGTATACAGAAAGGAAGTTTGATTAGCCTATTTTGTCATGGTGATTAGGGATTCGCCTAATAATCTTTATTAATTTTAAATTTTGGTTAACTAGGATTAAGACTTACTCTTCTCATTCTACTTATATTACATCAGAAATCAAGTTAATCTAATTGATCACCTAGTTTATTAGTAGTTTATTCGAAAAATATTTATCTTGAGTATAATGCTCTCCGTTTGCCATAAAAGTTGTTAGTGACTACTCTGAAGGTAGAGTAGTTTTAATACACTAGTGGATGGTTTTTTTAAATATTTATTTCGAAATATGTTTAATGGTAGGATCTACAATGATTCTTTCACCTTATCCGATACTTGTCAGTTTGATGTACTATCATTTAGATTGAGATTTAAACCTAGTACCTAACAATTTCAATATCTACCCTTGATCTACATAGCTACTAAGTTCAGATAATCACTTCGTAAGATCAAGGCACCTGTTCAATGTGTTTTCATATTACAAAATAGACAATTAACAAAATTCTAGTTTTAAAATGTCAATAACCAAAAAAACACCCGGACTTCATATAAATGACAAAAACATGTCTGAACTAAAGGTATTCCATCTCATATATGAATAAAATTTTGAATAAATACGCCAATTTTTTTCCTCCTAATTCACCATAAACATCTTAAAGTGTACATGTTTTTTTCCACTAAAAAAGAATGATGCATAATTATAAATATACAAAATCTTGGTAACTAAAATTAAACTACCCTTTCTTACTTAAGTAACAATATGAATATAGTTAATTGAATACCATTTTAATATCTGGCAATTTAACTAGATTAAAATAGCATTGTTAAGAATAAATTATAATTTATTTTATCATTACAACTTTTAACCTTTTCTTTTTGTTGTTGCTGTTGTTGCTAAGGTTATTTTTAGTATCTATGGGACTAATTTAATGGATAACTTTACTAAGTTAGTTCTTAATATACACAACTAATTTAAATCTGTTTGGAAAAGGAAATTTATGTAGATAGATTAGCAGAATTAGTTATTCATCAATATGAATAACAAGTTAAATAAATTAGATAGAATAAAATGGAATCGATTAGAACAAAAAAATGAAAATATAAAAATAAAGATTCTAACTTATTATGTTCTCCTATTAAATTTGTTTTGTAAGTAAATGGGCTCGAGACTGGTAGGTCCTGGGTTCGAATCTCGCGAGTGAGGGATCATGGATGCGCACTGCTGAGGAGTCCCATAATAGAACGAAACGGCCGTCCAGTGCTACCAGGTTTTCCATGGTGGTCTAGCTTCAATTAACTCATGATCTCAAGTCTATAAAATTGCTAAAATCTCCACAAAACCCCTTCTGAAAATGGGTTATAAGTTGGAGGTGTGGCGCATATGTATTAGGTGCCCTTTGTGCCAATGTGTAGTGATTAAATAAATAAATAAATATAAGTTGGAAACCTCATTCTAAAATATGGAATTTTAGTACGTATTAAACTTGAAAAGACCACAATATCGATAATTAGTGTTACATATATATATATATAAATGTATATTATTCACAGTTATATAATATACCCTTGCGGGCAAGGGTAAATTTGTACTGGTTTTCAGGAGAACCAGATACTAACCAGACTTTCACGTGACAACCCAAACAGTACAGTTCAATCCCGTTTAACAGAAAAGCTAGACACTGCCCAGGCTTAACCCGAGCAGTACAGCTCTATCCCACCCCATAGGAGAACCAGACACTATATGGGCTTCAACGCTATAATCTGAACAGTACACCTCAAACCTGTGGCGCAACCACACAGGTACAAGGCACCCTCGTGGACCATGTATATATTGTCAACACAGAGAATAGATGGAATCTTTCTTTCTCTATTTATTGTCACTAAAAGAGGAAAGTATATTATTGATAATGACTAATCACTTAGCGGTAATAATGTCATATTCATTTATTCTATCAGTGCTAATGGAATATTGTTTCTAAAATCAAAGAAGGTTCATTATTTATAAGATTATTCTTTATAGTGTGGATAAAGTTTATACAAAGTACAAATGGGATTAAGTTTTTATTGCAATAATAAATTGGCGATATTACAAAAAATACAATTGAAACAATTAAACTATGGATGACAATAAGAATAACATTGAACATTCACTGTAAACATATTGTAGCAAACGAGAACACAGGTGGAACATCCGATGTATCTTTGTAAAATATGAGAACCATACATTGAATGCTTCATTTTCGAATTCCCATCATTTGACCTTCACATTCTGTATGATTCTTCCTATTCAGAATTCCTTCCGAATTTCCCTCTCCATTCTCTCCAACATGATCTTAACCTTCTGCTATCTGGGTTTCCACTTTCGATTGGTGCTACATACTACTTATGTCTGTCGACGTAAATGGCCTACACCACAATAATAATGTGGAATCTGTTAAACTGGATTTATGAATTTATACCAATAAACAAGTGAACATACACCTTTTATTAAAATTGTTTAATTTAGTTACTTCATTTTACTGCTAGACGAAATCACTTTTTTCATTTAAAAAAGTCTTAGCTCATGTGCCATTTATAGAATAGATCGATCATGGCTAGTAGTAAAATCTAAGAGGTGTGCTTTTTCCTGTTTAGAATTTATTACTTGGATGCACCTGGAACCTAACGTTGATGTTCACACAGAGACTCAAACCAATAGCTCGTAACTTTAAACATCACGTTATTAATTAACCTTCTGAGTCTAGAAAGCCAGTAATTGAAATTACAGTTTGTTTTAAATTTAGAGGTTATTAAAGTAAAGAGTTAATATTATTCACTCACTTTAAAGCCTTCTAGTTTTTCTGTTCGTTTAGGCTGTTGCCAAGTAACCTTCACACTGGTATCATCTCCAGAACAAAATAAACCACGTACTGAGAAATCACTTTCACCATTACCGCTGGCTAGTCGACTAATTACCGGCTGACTGCAGTCACCATAACGACCATCTGGTCCACGTGATTTAATACAAATTACGTAACTCGTTTTACTTTCTAAATGACTTATAATGGCCATATTAACTGGGCCAACATCAAACGAGGTCCATTGACCCGATTCGTAAGGATTATTATTAGCAGAATAGAGTAGACGAAAACCTTGTATTGAAATTTGTTTACTGCCTACACCACTTTGATCTTCACGTGTTGGTATGCGCCAAGTAACTTTGATTTGATGTTGGTTAATTCTTGAAGCTTGAATATCCAAGGGTGGAGGTGGCACTAAAAATCATTTTTTTATTTGGGGAAAAGAAAAGAATAAGAAGGATTGTCATTTTCAACCAGTTCGCTCGTGGCAAATGTTAATACAGTTATCTTCGCCTAGAATATCAAGTTAGAGGAAATTATTCCATTTTTAAATACTTCGAAACATGGAACAAAATCGACTAGACATTCACTGAAAACCAAGTACGGAATCTTATACCTATTTGTAGCTAATAATCAACCATGAGTTGAATAAACGATCTTTAAGTTTTAAGTTGAGTTTACTGATTTCAGGTCACTTAGTTAGGATCTAGTAGTCCGCAGTTTTATAATCTCTCAATAGCATCTGAATGCTATTTCGTTATTCACATGAAATAATACAACGTAACATTTCAACTGTACATTTTTTTATGATTATTTACAAAACGCTTATTTTGTCTGTTTTTGATTGAGATCAAGAACCGACTGATGTTAGACCACCATTAAAAACCTGAAAGCAATAGACGTTCGTTTCGTCTTAGCATGGGAATCTTCAGTGGTACGCATCCACGACCTCCCTCGCTAGACTCAAACCCAAGGGCTTCGGCTTCGCACGCGAACACTTAACCTCTAAACCACTGAGGCGGAATCCAAGTGTTAATGTCTAACCTCAACGAATCCACGAAATTGCGTTTTATGTTTTACATTTTCTCGTCATATTTAGATAGTATATTGATGAAAATCAGATTGCGTTTTTGAAAGAATAATTTTTTAACCGATCAAACGTTTCAAAAGGGAATACATCATCAGTTGTTGTGTAAAGTTCATCATTATTTTCATTAATTAGTATCTTTTTCTCTAGAAAAATTCTTATAATTTATATATAAACAATGACGTAATAATACTTACACTCAATACTTGTACGTATATTACTTGCACCAGACCAAGGGCCCGGTCCAGCTGAAGTAAATGCTCTAACCATAAATGTATAAAATGTTTTCTCTTTTAATCCTCTTGCTGTATATTGTCTTTGTCCTGGTACTGTCACTTTGATTATAGTCTCAGTTTGTGTTTCAGCACCAACTTCGAAAATTCTAACTTCATAACCAGTGAGTTTCCCATTACGATATTGTACAGGAGGTGGAGCCCAGCTAACTTCAACGGAACTTGATGATAAACCACTTAAGCGAACATGTAGTGGACTGCTAGAAGGAGCTAGAAGAAAGTAATAGATAAAGTCGAATAATTTTATCAGTTGTTTATAAAAAATCCTAAACATAAGTGAAACATGAATGCATAAGGTCAACTACCCAGACCTTTTAACATATTGGTTCCAGTGTATAAGTACAAACTTGTCTCTTTATCATTTATTTCTCTTTTCACTTTATTTGATGTAAGTTGTCTGATGAGTTGTTTGCCGTCAAACGAATGTGTATAGATTCACAACCTAGTACGTATGTAATTAGGGAGAATCACCAAAAGGAAAGTAGGGAATAGATAGGATGATATGATAAACACATAACATATAAACATTTTGAAACCATTATATCTCGCTTGTTAATAAAACTATCCTCAAATATATGTACGCGTTTATTCCCACTGAAGTGTGCAAAAACAGCATTCAGTAAACATTATCATAAGATCTACTTGAAACTACGAATAAACAGCAAAACCAAAATCTTTGATTTGATCTATGCTGGTGATGTGATAGATGGAAACATATTTAAAAAAAAAACCCTATCATATAAAATACTACCAAGTGATGTTAGTCGATTTGTAAAGTGTGAAATACACAAGGGTGTACTAAGGCTAAGTTTGTATATAAAAGATGAAACTGACTATCATGTGACGTTTACATTATACTGCTATATTGAATGATTTCTTTCAAATCACTGTTTTTTTGTTGTATTTGGTCCATACTAATGAAAGAGATTTTATTCTATAGCATATTATTAAATGCAATCATAAGTCTTATTCTTTGGATATTCTTAAGTATTCAGGTCAGAGTGATACAACGTCATACAATGAATTTGGATTATTGAACATTGAATGATGAGATTATACCACACATACGATAAAGATGCGATCGGAGAACAAGATGAGACAACTATATTGTTTCATACTGAAAACTTTAAGTTCATAATCAATACAACCGAAAACCAATTTCGTCTATTCATGAAACTACTTCCCTCATTAATTGCAATTTATTGTCAGTTCTAGTATGCTTATATAACATGTAGAAAGTTCTACTATTATTGTCAATATTTGTGCATAATATACTACTGAACAATACTAATAAATTAATACAAACAGTATGCACATATGGCCAATAAGAGACTGACCAGTTGCAGCCCTAAACATCAATGAGAAGATACAAAGAAGCAATATTAAGTGAATTTAAACTTCACCCCATTGCACAAGCAAGTGGCTATCAGGACTCATTAGCTGAGTGCATAACGCGATGGCGTTCGAAGCGAAAGGTACTGGGTTAGAGTCCTAGTGCGAACATCAACTCTGAGATACAGGTACATCCAGCTGACGAGTCCTAAATAGGATGAAACGCGCGTGCTGGATTCCACTGCTAGCCACTAACCATCTTTGCTTATAAAATTCAAATAGTTAACAAATTCTATACAAATAAATTAGAATCTCGAAAGTATATTTTACGAAAAGCATTCATAGCCACAAAACACTAATTTATCAAGTTAAAATAACATTAAAGTTAATGTAATTCGGAAATTAATCACAAAGAAACTTTCCTACCTCTTTGTTTTCCTACTTATTTAGTCATTAATAAAAACAATACATGTGAAATATGAGGATAAGAATTCAGATTTATTTGTCTAAAATGATATCATTAAACATTGTATATAGTTTGAGGCTTGAAAATTTGTAGATATCATTCTAGTTCCAATTATAGTTGGAATAAATGGAAGTATGTTTAAAAGAATAACAAAATAAACAATAAGGACGTCACGTGTTGGCCCCTAGTTTTACATTATTCTTTCAGCTTCAGTGTTTGTCTAGAACAAGTTACTATGTAGAAAACATAAAGTATCTACAGATTTTGATGGAAAACTGTTTTATTTAATTAAGTTACTATAACAGAGGACTTTATTCAGTTTGTATGTTTTGTGATGGTATAGTACTGTCTATGCTAGATGGTTTGATTGGTTTGAATACTATGCTTCTAGACTTCAGTCTTTCTGAGAGTTCCATTTATACATTGTTTTGGTTGTTTAATTGCATTGATATAAGTGACATTTCATATGATCTCCCTGATGATACATGTTCATGTATACGTAGGTGAAAGTATCATCAAAATTCTAGATCGAGGAAACTCTAAGAGTTCAAGAGAATCTCTAGGAGTACAGAACGTAGATTAAAATTGTGAATCAGCAACCATACTGATATAGTTTCAAGCTATTAAATCACACAGATAGGTCAATCAGCCACACGGTAAGATGTAAACTGCAGAAGACAGCTGATGTCAATAAAAGAACACACGAAATCAAAACAACTATGAACACAACGAATTATGAATAAGGTCATTAGTAAGGAGTGACCGTGGTTTTGTGGATAAACTTGAATAGATCACGTTCACATGATAAAGTGGGAGATAATCTTATGCGCAACAACAGTGAAAGGCATTCAATCAAGCTCAGAAAACATGACACCACCCAAATCATCCACGTGAGCTGCAAATTTTTTTTTAATAACTCAGATTATTATGTAAACAAACGCAAGCGGTAGGTCTTGTTAATCTACATACGCATTCTATAGTATAATTTACAAAAATTTGCTTGACGAGTCTTAGAAACCAGGTAACGATTTCGCAGAGTATTTACAATTTTTCACAACTAATGTTTATACTGTATAGCATCAACAAGGTTTGTGCACCGATGTAGTTCATACAAATTTTGACTTATAGTCCTTTATTCAAATATGTATATGTTTACAGAATATGAAGATTATTTCAGAAATAACATTGAGATCGCTCTTAACTAAGTGATATAACTTACATTTTTGTATGACAATCATTATAATAACTGATGCTGTTTAGTTATACATTTACTACTTACTCCTATTACCCCTCATAGAGGAGCATAGGCCACCCACCAGCATTAATTGTCCAATTCTGTCCCGAAAAATCCTTTCCAGTTGCTATTGATCCTTTTCATCTCTGCTTTCAATTCTCAATGCAGTATGTTCATTGGCCTTCCTCATTTTCGTTTCCTTTCAAGATTCCAGGATAGCACTTACCTTGTGATGCAGTTTTATGATTTCCTCAATGTGTGTCCTATTCACTTACAACGTATTTTAATAATCTACTTTTCAGGTGGAAGTTGGTTTATTCTCTCTCACAATGGACTGTTGCTAATGGAATCCGGTCAACAGACATTGAGTATCTTGCGTAGACAATCGCTTATAAATATTTGTACATTTTGGAATATAGTTGTGGTAGTTCTCCAAGTTTCAGCTCTGTAAAGTAGAACTGTCTCGACGTTCGTTTTGAAGATGGTAACTTTAATATTGGTTGACATTTGTTTTGAGTTCTATGTGTCTGTTTTTATGAATGGTGCCCTTGCTTTGCCAATACTCACCTTTACTTCTGTATCAGACTCTCCACGTTCATCTATGATGCTACCCAGATAAGTGAAACTTTCCACCTCTTCCAGAGTTTCTCCATCAAGTGTGATTGGGTTGGATCTTGCTTTTCCTCTGTGTATTTTGAGGCCTACTGATGCAGACGCTGCTGTTACATTTACTTATAAAAGTTTCATAATACCTAACTATTTACGTGAAAGTTATGTGATAATACTAGTTTGTTCTCTTCTCTATAAAGAACATTAATAAAAATAAATTTTTCCATGTATATTACGAAATGGTTTATGTGACAGATATTTTTATCATGATGAGAGTATAACATTTAATTGTCTTTCTGTCTCAAGTATTTCTGTCAGAAAAAGGGAGTTACGCTGCTTGCTTTTTCGAAAAAAAGTTTTTATAACTAGACAATGTAGAGAGATAAAGTGTGTTACGAAAACACTTCCTCATATTATATTTACTAAAATATAATTACTTTTTTTGATAGATGGGGACATTATTTTTCATTCACTGTAACACCATTTTAATTCATATAAGTATGGGGTGATGGTGATTATTGAATTTTATTAAGATCCTATACTGATCTCAGTAAAACAACCAGTGAAAGCATGGAAGCACTGGAAGAATGTTTTGTCCTAATATGAGACTCAGTAGTAGTGAGCAATCATGACCCTAGGACCAGGAGCCGAGCCCAGAACATTCGGTTTCAACCAAGAACTTTCAGTCTACAAACTAATAACCTGAAATCCAACCGTATACAAGTCTAACTTCAGTCATTCTACAATGTCATACGACCATCTTGAGTTATTTTTGTATGGTACCTTCCTAATACCGAATAGTTTTTGCTCCTTCTTTCTTGTATTGATTTAAGTAAGATAACATATTCACAATATAAACGATCCATATAAGCTGGTACCCCAATGATGTTTATAACTAACTGTTCTACATAAAATTACTTGTGTATGTACTCGTTTGTTGATTAATCCACACAGCTTATGAATCATGATGATATGGATTCAATTTATGTATACAACTTGAGAAATACAATAAGCGTTGTAAATGATTGGCGATACATTGAAATGACATTTTGTTTAACAGTTATACTGTTTCGTCCTACTATGGGACTCCTCAGCGGTGCGCATCCACGAACCCACTCTCGCGGGACTCGAACCCAGGACCTACCAGTTCCGAGCCGAAGCCCTTAACCGATAGATCACTGAGCTGGCATCCAATGGTGTTAATGTCTAACTTCAACTGATCCACGAAGTTGAGCAACCATTCACCAATTGTCTTCAGTGAGTTGATATCTCACAACGGACGTGGTTGAACTCCACTGGTCACTGCTTCCCACTAGAACTCCAGGACATGTATCTTGAAGTCAGTCACTAGTGAGCATATGATTATATTTAGAAGGGGATTTCAGTATTTCAGTTCAACCAGTGAGATATCAACTCACTGAAGACAATTGGTGAATGGTTGCTCAACTTCGTGGATCAGTTGAAGTTAGACATTAACACATTTGGATGCCAGCTCAGTGGTCTATCGGTTAAGGGCTTCGGCTAGAAACTGGTAGGTCCTGGGTTCGAATTCCGCGAGAGCGGGTTCGTGGATGCGCACTGCTGAGGAGTCCCATAGTAGGACGAAACGGCCGTCCAGTGCTTCCAGGTTTTCCACGGTGGTCTAGCTTCAATTGACTCATGATTTTAACTTTGAAAAAATACTGAAATCTCCACAATCCCCTTCTAGTTATACTGTTTATTAATATATCAGTAGAAATCATAGTGATATGTATGTTTTAAACATTCGGCTTCTTATCACTATCCAATGAGATTTCTTCTGTTGTTTTAAGTTTAAGCTGATCATTCTTTGTTAGTGTATTGGGGAACATTCATCATGGACTGATATCCCATCAAAAAAACTGTTTAAAAATTAGGATCGTCATAATAAAGAAAATCACTTTTAAAATTAATTAAACAGCTTTTTAAAAAAAAATTAACTCACGTGCATCTGGTGTGGTCACCTCTAATTGAGCTGTAAGACCTACTGAACTTGTATTCATAAGTGCAACTTCAAATAAGTAGGTTAATCCATAACCTTTAAATTTTAAGTATAGTAAATAGGTTAGATTTTGAATATAAATATATACGTGTATATATAATGTGACTTACATAACTAGTTATATCTAAGATTGATTTGAGCCGTATGAATGTTCACAATTCCTTCTTTGTGTTCTTCAGTGTTTCATGTTTTTTCATGATTTAAAGGTTTTTAAATGGTCAATTTCCCGGGTGCCATGCGTATTTGGTTAATAGTAATACTTTGACTTAAATGTTTACTGTCAAGTGATGTACATATTATTTTGATGGTAAGAATTCAAGCAAATTTAGTTAATAATAAGTCTGAGAATAACTTATTTAGTTACACTTGTACTCTAGTTTTTTTCTAAGATCAGGTTGACACTGTCCTGACTATTTCATCACTTAAAAGGGATCAATGTCAAAACATATCTAACGAGAAATACGGTACAGTATTCGAGCAAGTCATCAAAAACGAAGTACTTATACTAAGAGTTAAATTACTCTAATATGTATATAAAATTTCTTTTCATAGAACATTTGTTCTGAAAGACTTCATCTTTTTGTTGAATGAAACAAGTGGATATACCACTTGATTACTTTACCGCTTATGGTACTGAATGATCTTCAAACTACTTCAGTAATTTCATGGAGTAGTAAATGTTAACCTTAGGATGTTGACTTATTGATGTAAATAAAATGTACTTGCTGTAGAACATTAAAGGTTTTCTGTACAATGCCAAGTGAGGTTGTGAATGAGATCACAGTTTATGATGAAGCAGTTTTCCACTGCTCATTGATTTTTAATGATTCATCACAAGTTTGGACTAAACTCTATTACCAACAATATTTACAGAAAAATGAATAATTTAAGAATACCATAGTCATTTGAAATGTAGACTGTTTTTGGAGATACTTGTACCATAGACTTCAACTATTTATGAAATTATTAAAGCTTATCAAATATTGAATGACTGTTCCACCAACGATCGATACTCCTCATCAGTCCACAAACAAAACTGTACAGAGAATCGGGTAGATGACTCCCAGATCCTCCAGTGACCCCAAAATTATTGATGTAAACAATTATACACCTCAATAACGACTTATGTTCGAGTTAAGGCGAGGCTATAAAACGTTATCAAGGGAACTTAAGTAGTTTACAAACTACGGGCTGATTACTACAAATGATATTTCTACTGTAGATAATAAAATGGTTTTAATCATCGTTGATAGAATTAATATATATAGAACACCGTACAGAGTTCTAAAATAGTAGGCCAATAGAAAGCTCTTCCAGCTTAGAATTACCAAAACAATGGTCGAAATAACATGAATTAGCGAAACATCTATTCTAGGTTATTATATCCCCTTGATATAAATTAGGACAATAAACTAAATTTTAAAATTTATTCAAAAGATAGTTTAACATTGTGTGATATAGATCGTCACAAATTTTTTTTCTGAACACTTGATCCATCATTCAAAGTTTAGAACTGTAGTGGATCTTTAAAAATGAATACTCTTATCCTTTTCCTGACATGAACAGATGGTAGTTACTTAGTAAATAATAGACACAATTCTCTGTAAGATTCGACAAAGAACTAAGTGTAAATATATAAAATCAATAAATAGATTCTTAACTTAAAAAATATATCTTATATATTAGTGTAAATGTATCGTTATGATGTATCAGTTCCTAGTCATATTGAACATGATACAACCATATGTCATCTAAATATTGATAAAAATGTTTACTCAGGATTATTATAATTTTTATAGTTTGTGTTTCAACGGTAAATGTGAGGCAAGGTTTCCTTTGGCAAAATACCATATGTTAGAAAATAATAATAAATAAAATTAGTAACACTTCATTGAGTTAATTTAGACACCGCTGTTGTTAAATGTAGAAAAGAGATCGTGGAAGTAATGTGATTTAGATTTGATATAACTAATCTGATAATTGATATTAAATGGCAGATGAAATTAGGCCTACCATGTTTATCTTGAATAAATAAGTTTAAGAAAATTGAATCTAGTAATTACATTGAAGTAACCAATTATCGGTTAGCATGTTAAATTATGTGAATAAGATGGCATAATGAAAGTTGCTGAACTTTATAATTTGTATCACTAACTCATATGATTTAAGCAACCAATCAAAACAGGGAAGTAATAGACAGTTGTTTGGATTGGATACGGGACACTTAAGTAGTGTTCACTTACCAACCCACCGGGAAACAGACCTAGGACCTTCAGATTTCGAAGTGAGCTATCAACAGGTAGATTACCGAGTCGGCGATTAGTGATGAGGATGCTGACAGTGCAAAATCATTTATGCCTAAGATAAAACAGATGACCTGTGCTTCCCGGTTTTGAACGGTCTCCTAGCTAAGATTGATCCTTGGTTTAAACTACGGAATACAATTTAATGATTTGAGGATTACTTCCGGTCACCTGACAGAGAGATTTTTGTGTCGCATCAGTCAGTCAGTTATAAGTAACTTAGGACTTGGTACATATGCGGACCGGTTGTACTAGTCTTAGTAAAAATATAGGGCATTAAGCAAGTTGAATTTGTTTTGATGTGAATAAATGAATTTGCAAGATAAAAAGTAAAAACTAATTTTGAAGCTAAGTACTTAACGGAGAACGAAAGGTGAATGCATTCAAGCTATTGAGACTGATTCTAAACCCTGTCAATCAGGATCCTCAATTATTTGTTCATGGAAATTGAGAGAGCTTCAACTACCATGGCTCAAAACAACAGTCGATAACTTGGTCAACTAGTTTCATATTTCGTTTTGGCGGCTAATTCATACTGAACTGTAGCGACATACTGATCTAGATCCTTCCTACTGGAAGTAGCTCTCAATATAATCAGGTCGTTAATATAAATCAATACTTAAACATATTTATGCTGGTCGGCGGCCTATGGTCCATTGGGAGTAAAAGGCGTAATAAAGATAAGATACTTAAAAATATTTGTTATTATGAATACTATTGCTTTTATGTTTGTCCATAGTCGCTAGAGTACCCTCTGTAATCCGAGGCCGTCTACAAAAATCCAGTGGAGAGATGCTTAAGAAAAATGAAGAAATTTTTAGTTGATTACTCTCTGCCTATTTATCTGTTCACCAAAAGTTTGATTTGTTTTCAGGCGATTTCTATTCGGACTCTCCTTGTGACTTTAGGCAATATGGAGGCATCCCACACAGAATGTACATATGCCAACAAGAGACTGATTAATTTCAATCCTAAACAATAATGGGAAGATAAAAGTAAACAACACGAAGTAAATTTAAACTTCATCCCAAGGCACAAGTAGGTGGCTATTAGGACTCAGTAGCTGAGTAGGTAACGTGATAGCGTTTGAAGTGAACAGTGCTGGGTTCGAGTCCCAGAGCAAAAATCAACTCTGAGATACAGGTACATCCAGCTGACGAGTCCCAAATAGGACGAAAGGCGCATCAAACTGGATTCCACTACAAGTCACTATCCATCTTGGTTTATATCCTATTCATGGTTTTACTTGTGTTAGATTTAATATTTTTTTATAGTCTTTACTACATTTTTAACAAATCAACTTTGTCCTAATTGGCAAAGGAATTATTCATAAGAAATTCTACGAAATTTAAACAAAAAAAGAATATACATCCTGATAGAAATTAATGAATATATTACTAACAAGATTATTTCTTGAATACCCCTTCTCATTATTAAATAGCTTGTGAATCATGGTGTTCAAGTGGATTTCTAGTTGTTTTATACCCAAGGGTAGTTACTTAATTTTTTTCTTAATTTTATAGTCTTCTTTTATTGCTAACTAGTTTATGATTAATCAAGTACACCTTTTTAAACAGTCAACTTTAAGGCAGATTTATTATGTGATGGCCAATCATTCTACCAAAGTGAAAATAAACAGAGTAACAATTGGACCTATAATCCAATGGTCTATAATTAAATACTGTGGGGAAAAAACAACATTACCTGTCGTTGTACTGTTTGGGTATTATATCAAATAAAATGTTGCATAACACAAAAACTATAAATAAATCAATAGAAAGAATAACATTTCTTACGATGTTACAAGTTGGTTCAAGGTTGGACTAGAACAAATTTGAATTTAACCAACTAAATTTGACAGATCAAATATAATCTGTCAGATTCAGTTTATGTCTGCTTATACTATTCAAATTCTTTCAAAATAAAAAGTTTTATCCCAATATTGAATGACCTCCTGGTGATATTACCTGAGATTATTTCATAAGGGTATTATATAGTTAAAATCATGAATCAATTGAAGCTAGACAACTATGGAAAACGTGGAAGCATTGAACGGCCATGGAACTCCTCAGTACTGCACATCCACCATCCCGCGGTTATTTATAAGTTTTGAAATCAGTCAGTTCGGTTGTGGCTCAGTGGTAACGTCACTTTCCTGTTGACCACCTCCAACCACCATCTTACCTGAAATCAATCCCTATTTAACTGATATAATTTTCTGAATTTTTCGTTTTATTGATTTGTAAAATAACTTGTTAAAGTTTTTATTTCTTAAGTTGTAAGCCAAATGAGATGAACTTTATTGTTGAGGTATCTACGAAACCATATACCAGAGTAAAAACAAAATATGAATATTTCTGTAATTTTTGTACAATAAAGGTCTATAAGTTCTGATGAATAACAAGTTAAAATTGAAAATTTTCACATTTTACAACTTTACTTACCAATTCTGTCACTTTCTGACGATCTAAATGTATTTCCAGTAACATTAGCTAATAATCTCCTTTGTAATAGTGGATGACCACCTTCACGTTCTAAACTGGATCCATATAATTCACTGGAACTTATTGTAGTATCTGTTAGTTCTTCTATTAATTCTTGCGGACCTATCAGTCTAACAAATACTTGATAACTGATTTGTTTTGTAGTGTGTAGACCTTCAGGGGGATCCCATGCCAATTCAACACATAAATATGGTAGGTCTATTTGTCCATGTACACCAGCTTGTTCCGTTCGTGATAATACTGACGTTAAACGAGTTCTTTTGTGTATGTCCACCAGATGTAATTTTCTTGGTTTCATTGGGACTGCAAGTTCAAAGGACAAAAGACTATAGTTAAAATTACATTCGTTAATTCTTAAAATGATCGGAAATGAACGGAATTCTCCATTTTAAGACGTGTTAATTAACTCAAGGATTATCGTTACTGAAGTCATGAATAATCATCACAAATAACAAATTAACATGTTGGCTTCTTAAAAATTAGTGGTAAACCATTGAAAGTACATAGATAAATAAAGTATGTTAAATGATCTGTTTTTTTAAGAGAAACAATACAAGACTGAATCATATTTGTTAATAAAGCACTAATTTAATACTACTAATACTACTAATACTACTAATCAGTACTTTGATAATGTTTAGTAAAAGGAACTATAGTGTTATTGTTAAACTATAATACCAATGTTCATTTCTGATAAATCTTCTGACCGTAAGCTTGGTTCGGTCCTCTGAGCTCTTCTAACAACCCCAGGCTAAATGTACACAGCAACTTGAACAGGAGAGAAATATGGAAAAAACGCTTTACTCCAACGTTTGTTTATGTACAGAAACCTTAGGGTATCCATAGAATTTCAGATGACCTTGGGCATCTGGAAAGTCCCAGAACCTTACTAAACATACTAACAGGATAGGTAACCGTCCTATTAAAAATATGACCCATAACTCTCCACGTTCCAGCTGTTTCTGAGAAACTTCTATTCAGTGCTGAGTAGATAGAATGTTTCCCAGAGTTTTTACTGCCCCTTTGGACATTTTACAAGGAGTATTCTGGATCTTCTTAACACTTTCTTTCGTAGTTTAACAAAAAACATATAACAAAACTATTTTCTTTATCGCTTGATTGTAACATAACTTTATTTTTTTCTTTAATATAAAAATTGAAATGAGCTACAAGATTTTAGAAAAAACAAAGACGTTGAACCAACTGCTTCACTCTTGTCCTCTTGCCTTCACTGATGTTGCTCTATGCAACAATTTATAGTTGCGCAAATTTCAGGTGCGTTTTTTAAATTTTTAACAAAAATGAAAGATTCTACTAACCCATAAGCAGTTTTTAGAAAATTAAAGAAAATTGTGAAGTCAGTAGATCTGTGATGAGGAATTTTATTAAGTAATTAAAATAATAATCTAGGCGTTTCAGTCACCAAATGTAATCTGATATCAGTATCATAGCTTAAATCGTGAACTGACCATAGCTAGACCATCATCAAAAACCTGCGGACATTGGGTGGTCGTTTAGTCCTGAGATGGGGTTCCTCATAAATGCTCACCCATGAACTCAAGACCTCCGGTCTCGTGAGTCAATGAGCAATCATCTAATGGCGTACATGTTCAACTTCAATCGGTTTCACAGTTGTAGACTTAAATCATGACGACTGGAGTTCAATCATATCTAGTGTGAAACAGCTTTTCACCGAAGGTAATGGATGAGGGTTGTACAGTATCTTGAATTAGTTGGTGCTAAACATGAGCAGCATTAGTTATCAGTTCATTGGTATAGAGGATGTGCATAAGCGCGCAGGTCCGAAGGTCTAAATTTGGGTTCCCGTTTGAAAGGTCACGAATGAGCATTGCTGAGTAGTTCCATTCCAAGATAAATTAACTGTCCAATCCTTAATGGTTTTCAATGGTGACGTGAACTATGAGGTAAGTATGTTTAAAATCAAGACTTTTCGTAACTTATTCAATTCATATTACTTAATTTGCAGTTTATTAATCATGAGCTAAACAGTAAGTTTAACGTATTTTTAAAAATAATTCATCCAAACCTTTAATCTTGTCAGTGAATCAGGTCAGAATTAGTTACTAAGTGGTCGAGTGTTTTATGTCTAGACTTCTATACATCGGAATAAGAAGTCTTATGATGAAAATACTGCTTCAGCAAAGTTGGGTCGACTAAACATTTCACTTAATAAACATAATTTAACCAAGTAAATAATTTCACTGTCTTCCATACTGACTGATTATTAGAAATTGAAATATAGTGTTATTCATTTTGATGAATAAAACAACAACCGAGAGATGTACTGCAAGATAATTTCGAAGAAAATCATATATACTACTAATCTAAGTTGGCAACTATCCCACAACAAGTTACATTTGATGATTGAAAGTGTGTTTTCATTCCCCTTATCTTACATCTAATAAATTTAGTGGGCCTTTTCAAAGATTCATACAGTTAGTTACATAATATGTTATAGTTGAAATGTTTACAAATGAAAAGAAAGAGATAATAATCTTATTGTACAGTAGGTTGAAACTTGAAAATGGGCGGATGCCTATACAGATTGTTTGTTGATTTTGGGATGGAACCTAAACTATCCTTTAAGCTTCACATGAAGTATTCGAAACCTATGTAATTTGTTTTGTTTTATGTTAACAGTATCCAATTAACAATCAATCATAATTATATAACTAGACAAGTCAGATTCAATTGGTCAAAAGTGAGGTCAAAGGTTATATTTTACACTTGATGATCAAAATATACCGATAAGGTAGAATTATTAAACAAAATTTTTGATAAAATACTAGTGGTTTTTTAATCAAAGGTCTAGTCAAGATCAGGAACACTTATCAAACGTTAGTCTTATTCCTTCTTATAGAAGAAACTGATGAAATTTAAATTCCTTTTCAAGAAGAAGGTGGATTTTATCTTTTCATTGTAGGGACATTGTATGTGACACCAGCTTCCCACATGATAACTGACGTCATAATGAACAATTTTTTCTGTGACAAGCACATTCTTATCATTATCAGAAGGGGCTATTCTGTGGAGGTTTAGTATTTTCGTAGTTGAAAGCGTGAGTCAAGTGAAGCTAGGCCACCATGGGAAACCTGGAAGCATTGGACGACCGTTTCGTCCTGTTGTGGGGCCCCTTGGCAGTATGCATCCACGATCCCGGCTGGCTTCAAGAGGAACATGATTTCAACTATATAAAATTACCAAAATCTCCACAAAACCCCCTTCTGATAATTATCATATGCTCACTAGTGACTGGCTCCATGAAGTATTTCCTGGAGTTCTAGTGAGAAGCATTGACCAGTGGAGTTAAACCAGGTCTGTTGGGAGATATCAACTTACTGAAGACATTGGTAAATGGTTGCTCAATTTCGTGGATCGGTTGAAGTTAAACATTAACACCGTGGTCTAGTGGTTAAGTGCTCGCGCGCGAGACTGATAGGTCCTGGGTTTGAATCTCATGAGGCGGGATCGTGGATGCGCACTGCTGAGGAGTCCCACAATAGGGTGAAACGGCCGTTCAGTGCTTCCAGGTTTTCTGTGGCAACCTAGCTTTAATTAACTTATGATTTAAACTATATAAACTTAACATTTTAGTTTGTTATATATTTATTTGTAAGTCCACACCCTAATTGATCAATGAATAATAAACAATACTATTTTGTTTAGTAATTATTCTTGACTGTATTCTTTAGAACAAGTTACACCCTGAGTACTGGTGTGAGTGCTTTTAAGTCCCGTTCAATATATTTTAATATTAAGTAACTGGAAGTAACTTATTTCTCTTGGTATTTGGAATTTGTTAGAAAGGTACATCTGCACACTTATGGAAAGTGATATTAACCACAGTTTGTATGAATACCAACTACAGTAAAAATGAACCCATTGAGTTATTTTGAAAATAGATTAGCTGAATTAGGATAGACTCTTAAATGTACATTTCATGCACTACGCAACAGTCAAATCTGTCACTACAATGCTATTAATCATTATTTTCTGCAGAAAAAAACTTCAAAAATTCTATTTCTCTACTATTGATTGATCACTGCGTGGTGATCAATGCCATGTATGTCAGGTCCTTCTTAGTACAAATCGAAACTGGATGATACCGGATCGCATCTGTAAGGAAGCACCGGTTCCCCCAAGATTACAGGTACACCTTGCTGATGAGTGCCAAGTGGCACGAAACCTAGAGTTTCCGTTGACTACCTCCAACCACCAACTTATGACATTTATCAAATGTAACATTAGAAATGTTATAATAATAAGTCCTTTATTTTATAGTTTCACCCTTTTTTGGTTTATGTACCGTTTTAAATTGAAAATTCGGTGTGAAAAAGTTTATTTTCAGTTTACTCTGTTCGTTCACATAGGAGAGTAATTCTTGTTAAATTTATTTGGATCATTAAAGGAGGTCAATAAGTGAAACTTATTGTGAGGACACTAGAATAAGAAATTTGATAAATTTTAAGGTCATTAAATGTGAGAAAATCTAAAGACAGTATTTTATATATAAACTCAAACGGAGCATAGTAACTTATGTCAAAGGCTGGACTTAATTCGATAGTCACTGAAAACCAGGAAGTATAAGGTATATATCATCTAAGTACAGGACCCTTCAGCAGCATGCACCCTTGATCCCAACTAATATCGAACCTAGGACCACTGAGCCGTCATCTAATAGTTTACACTTTTAACCTCTATCCACTTACCATACAATAACAATCTTTCACTTGCATTGGCTTGTAACTGCCTCAAATTAACTGACCGTGGCTTCTCATTAAAACTTTGATAACTACCACGAGAATGTAATCAACATCCAACATTTGGCTATTAGTTTGTAGAGATTGTTGAGTTTTATATCCTGAATTAAAAACACTAGTCCATGGTGAACAACATAAATCTCAATAGTCTCTACAAAACTCTTGTGTTAATAAAGTAATTTACTTTGATGTTTGTAGGGTCTGTTTAATTTGCTTACGGTTATCATTATAAAACTATACTTGTCAAAAACAATAGAGTACTGAATAAATGTTTCTTTCTAGCTAAAAGAAAACATTTTAACAACGAGCACTGATAGTTTCACTGATAGTTTAATCTTAAGGTTGTTCAATGAACACCATATCATTCATCTATTGATGTATTATTTCCTAGTTTAGTTTTCTCATTTCAACTCATTAGTGGTTTGGTTAGACTGTTATTCAATTTAATTGGTTCTTACCGGTGTAAAATGTTTACAAACTGAAGTTAGTGAGTCATCTACTAATCACTAGTTTTCAATTTAG